ATAACACATCATGAAGATTATTTGTCATGACTCAACAATTTATATAACCAAGTGATAACATTATTGGTCCTAGAGAAAAGAAAAATGTCAGGACTTCAATAAATTCTTTATTCAGTCACTAGTATTAAGGCTTGGCTGTCACTACGATAAACTGCAAAGCTCAGTTTAAGAGGTTACATTGTCAGGAATTCAAAGTGAATTAAATGTGACTTTAAAATTTAAAGAGACACTAGAAGCACCCAGACCACTTCATCTCAAAGAAGTGGTCTGAGTGCAATGACCTCTTGTTTTAACCCTGTAGTGTAAAACACTGGTGTCCTGCCATTACTGCAGGGTTTGCATTGCAGGGTTTAAATGTCTGTAGTGGCTATAGCATTAGTAACAAAATAGTTGACTAAAACTCGGCTATTTCAATGAGATGAGATCTTACTTGTGCATTGCTGCGTTTTTGCCGTGCATTTGCACTAGTATTGATCTCAGCCATGGAGATGGGACCAGGCGCAAAGAGAGCACCGCTGTGGGTGCATTTACTATCTATTCATACACTGGGAGGGGGAGACAGTAAACTAAATGGCTACAGGACAAAATAGAGTTAGGAATACACATCTGTATTTCTAATGGTATAGTGTTCCTTTAATGCCAAAACAGTCAAACTGACAGCATAGCTCACTTAGAGAATTTTTCCAGTTTAGTTATTTTGGTTCTAAGTTTATAATTTACCTTGTATCATCAGATCTTAAAACTGGGGAACCATAAGAGAAGTGACGTAATCGGCCAATTAAGTTAGGAATATAGTAGGACCCAGATACAGTCAATACAAACAAGAGAGAGGTTTTACATACTACAAAATGGTACATAAAGAATAGGGAACAATTCCTCATGGCTTATAAACCAGCATTTTTTTTGTAAGCCTGATACATACTGGAGGTTGACAGGGCCAGCTAATGTTTAACAAGACTAGTAGCCACCTATATTAAAATGTTTAATATCATATGACATATATGCTAACGAAAACAAGGTCTATACCCAGAGAAATCTCCTGCATTTGGTATTTTCTGAATGGTTATTCAAACTACCACTGTTTGCCTATTTATTCTAAGATTTAACATTTATAGAACTCAAAATGCTTTTTAAATGTGCATACTTTACAGTATAGTATAGTTTGTTTTTTAAAATCAATGAAACTGTTGATCAAAAGACTGCCAGATGGAATACAGAAGATCAGAATGCTGTAAAGGGAAACTATAGTGCTAGGAAAACAAAGTGTTTTTTCTAGCACTATAGCTACCTGTAGTGCCCCCTCCTGCATATATTCTTGCATATTTTAGTGCATACACAGTGGGTTTTCCATAACACAGAAAAAGAAACATAGACTGTGACGGTAGATAAGAACCATTCAGTCCAACTTGTCTGCCCAATTCGCCCACGCATGCTTAACCTCTACCATTCACTGTGTTAACCTCTACCACTTCAGCTGGAAGCCTATTCCATGCATCCTCTACCCTCTCAGTAATGTAATACTTCCTGACATACACCTGTATAGTAAATGATTTTATCTCACAAAGCACAAGTACATTGCTGGTATTCATTTTGTTTTCTTTCTCCGTAACTTTGTCCAGTGATAAGCTTTAAACACTGTCTAGCTTCCGAAGTTACCAGGTTCCTGTATGCCATCTGTTAAGGAACTTCCAGTATTTGGAAATACCATGTGGAAATACATACACAATGTTCCACCCAGCATGCAAGTTTCCTGTTATGATTGTTAAGGAGTTTTCCAAAGTAAAATTATTTCCCTAACATTCTCAGCTCACAAGTGTCTAACACATGAATCTGTGTCTTACCATAAAAACTGTAATCTGCTTTTGTTACATTCTTCCTAGGCCTCCTGACCTAGGCTGCATAAAAACACAAACAGTAACACATCTGTAAAAACAAACTGGCTAGTAGACGGATTGTGCTTTATAACATAAATTGTACTGTTGGTATACTTTACAGAGCCTTGCAAAAGTATTCACCCCCCTTGGCATTTTTTGTGTTTTGTTACCTCACAACCTGGAATTAACATGGATTTTTTGAGGATTTGCATCATTTAATTTACAGAACATGCCCATAACTTTGACGATTTTTTTTTTATTATTGTGGAGCAAACAACAAATAGGACAAAATAACAGAAAAATTCAATGTGCATAACTATTCACGCCCCTAAAGTCAATACTTTGTAGATCCACCTTTTGCAGCAATCACAGCTCCAAGTCACTTTGCATAAGTCTCTATGAGCTTGCCACATCTTACCACTAGGAGTTTTGCCAATTCCTCCTTGCAAAACTGCTCCAGCTCCTTCAAGTTGGATGGTTTGCACTTGTGAACAGCAATCTTTAAGTCTGACCACAGATTTTCTATTGGGTTGAGGTCTGGGTTTTGACTAGGCCATTCCAACACATTTACATGTTTCCCCTTAAACTACTCACGTGTTGCTTTAGCAGTGTGTTTTGGGTCATTGTCCAGCTGGAAGGTGAACCTCCATCCTAGCCTCAAATCACGCACAGAGTGGTACAGGTTTTGCTCAAGAATATCCCTGTATTTAGCACCATCCATCTTTCCCTCAACTCTGACCAGTTTCCCAGTTCTGGCTGCTGAAAAACATCCCCACAACATGATGCTGCCACCAATGCAAGGATTTTTCGAGAGGTCTCACTTCTCTTAAACTTCCTTGGGAGTATTCTCTACTGAGATTTCAAAGCGTGGGAAATGTTCCCACATTGAAACTTAATACTGCATAGAGCCCTTGTGGAGATCACATGGATTTATTTTTTCTTGTATCCCAATTTTTATTTTTACAGTGAGTTTTTATGAATCAGTCTTTTTTTTTTTTTTATAGTAACATCTGTAATTATGGTTTGTTTGTTTTTATTTGGCCTTTTGAAATGCTGAAACAAAGAAGATGTAAGAAGAAAGACTTTTGATGGTATAAGGCAAGTAAATATCCTAACTATCCCATTGGTATTAAGTGGATTACATTTTTGTTTGATTATAATTAGTAGCAGTCTTGGCATTTCTATAGTGCAAGCTTAGGCCACAGAACTTTACAATGTTATAAAGTGGGAAATTTTACAATAAATTAAACAATTACAATTGTTACAGGAACGATAGGTTGATGAGGACCCTGTTCAAAAGTGGTCACATGTGTTATTATCTGTATTTTCACAATTAAAGAAATGCCATGTTTACATAAATCCTCTCAAATGTGTACATTTATTATTGTTGCTAAATAAAAAAATGAAAATCCAGTCCTAAGCACCGTCATGCTTCACAGATCGGAATGCTTTTTGAAATTGCATAATTTCACTATTCTATTTATAGAGAGGTGAAGGGACATCTAGATAAGCAAAGGGAGTTCATGTTATTTTATTAGTCATTTCTCTAAATTTAAAGTCCACGTCTAAACAGGAAACATGCTGCCTGTATTGTCTCATTTTTGTTGAAATGTTTCTCACACTGCTAAGGTTACTGGCACACAATGACCTGAAGGGACATTAAGCAGAAAATGACTGTACTTATTGAATTCAAGGCTGGGAAGTGCTTCTAAAAACATGCATGTTAGTATATAATGTCTAAACATATAATGCTCTGTATTCAAATTTCTTAATAAACATATGCCATATATATTCTCACTGACCGACACACACTGACTGATTTGACAAATACATATTTTCACTGATTTAAAAACACACTCACTAACTGTTCCGAACACTTACTGATTTGACATTCACTGACAGATACATTGATAGACACTCTCAATGACATACACTCTCACTTATTTGAAACACTCAATAACATATACAAGCACACACTGACAGAAACACTCACTGACAGACACACACTTTCAATGACAGACACATAATCTCACTGATTTGAAACACACTCATTAACAAACACTCACTGGCAGATCCACAAACACACTCACTGCCAGGCAAGCTCACTAATAGACACACTGATATACAATGACACATAATATCACTGATTTGAAACTAGGGCCGGACTGGGGATACAAAGCAGCCCTGGATAAAAAAATCTATGCCAGTTCCATAAGTCATTGCGCCACATATTGTTGCATGTAATATGTAAGGCTATGTCTTGCCACCCCAGATGATTGAGTAATATATATATATATATATATATATATATATATATATATATACAGTGGGACCACGTTTTCCCATAGGAATGCATTGAAAACCAATTAATGCGTTCCGGAGGTGAGAAAAAAGTAAAATAAAGTATTTTATCTTTTCAAAACTCTTTATAAAGTGCACTTTAAAGGCATAAATACTGTACAGGGACATGATTAATCAAGCAATAACATTTCAAACATCCAACTTTATGTTTTAAAACATCACACATCAACTTTTAAAACATGGCAGACTGTTGGTAACATGGTACAGTACACTTCAACTGTACATAAATCAAACGTCAACAGGGAAAACATGGAAAATGTCAAAACAATTTTAACTCTTTTTGGTAGAGGAGGAGGATGAGGGCAATTGGGCAGCACTAACACAAGCAGGTTCTTCTTCATGTCTAGGCTGTTTTTGTAGGAACCTTTCCATTGCCTGCTGCCTCTGGTGCCTTTTAAGCATCAATCGGAAAGGGGACATGATGTCTGTGTCAAAACTGCTCAAAAAAGTCTGTGGGCTAGAGCCTTATCTGGGTGGTGCTGCTGTACAAAAGTCTGTAGGTTTACCCACATTTGGCATGCCTCCTTGAGTTCCATGGAAGAGAGCTGTTCCTCACTCATTTCCTCCTCCTCCTCAAATGCGGTCTGCTCCTCCATCGCCTCCTTCTGCAATTCCACCAGATTCTCGGTGGTTAGGTCATGGTCATGTTTCAAACCACCCCCTGATGACCTTGAAGCCTTCTGCATCTGCTGACGTTCCTGGCTGTTGTTTGAGGAGGTCAGCGTGCAAGGCCTTGGCTTTTTCTCAGATGATCGCCTTGGTCACTGAGTCCCCTGCACACTGCTTCTGTTCAATCCAGAGCAGGAGCAACTTCTCAACCTCCTCCAGAACAGGTGGCCATTGCTTGGAGACCCTGGTGACTCCCTTGGCTGCATCTCTCCCAGTTATCTTCTCTTTCGTTTTTAGGATTGTATCGATTGTGGATGCACTCCTTCCATACGCTTTGGCAAGGTCAGTCAATTGCATTCCTCCTTCTAGCTTCCTGATGATTTTTTTCTTGTCCTCAAGCAGAATCATCTTCTTCTTCCTCTTCCCAGCTTCTGCTGCTTTCTTGGGTGCCATGACACCACCGTCACTAAGTATGCAAAAAAAAATAAATGCTTTACATCCACATGAGCTGGCATGGAAACCACAGTAAAAGGCATGCACAGCACATGAGCTGTAACAGGCATTCACAGCACATGAGCTGTAACAGGCATGCACAGCACATGAGCTGGCATGGAAACCACAGTAAAAGCCATGCACAGCACATGAGCTCTAACAGGCATTCACATCACATGAGCTGGCATGGAAAACAACCCCACATTGCAAAACACACAGTACAGTACTGTAACAGGCATGCACAGCACATGAGCTGGCATGGAAAACAACCCCACAATACAAAACACACAGTAACAGGCATGCACAGCACATGAGCTGGCATGGAAATCACCACACAATGCAGAACACACAGTAAAAGGCATGCAAACAACTAAGCTCAGCTCCCTACCTTTCCACCTCTTGAGATGCACCAAAAAGGCTCCAAAACTTGCTGCAAATGGCTCCAAAAGGCTCCAAAAGGCTCCAAAAGGCTCCACAAATTGCTGCAAATGGCTCCAAAAGGCTCCAAAACTTGCTGCAAATGGCTCCAAAAGGCTCCACAACTTGCTGCAAATGGCTCCAAAACCTCTCCAACACCTCCACACTCCACACTCACGTGCTATGCAGACTCCAGTAAAAAAATTTGTAAACCAAGGCATTTTTTTAACTCATTCGAAAACTGAATTTTTTGTTTACCGAGGCGTTCCACTGTATATCAAATATATATTGCTTTTTCTAATATAAAATATTGGTCCTTTCAGAGCAAAACTTTTAATTATACAGTAAGCATACTCACATGCAGACACAGACAATCTCATTGACACACACAAGCTCATTGATACACAGCCTCATTGACAAACAATCTCACTGATATACATAAGCTCATTGACATAAAAACACAAGCTCACTCACTAGCACACACACACAGACATGCAAGCAAGCTCACTCACTAGCAGGCGCACGCACGCACACACACACAGACACACACACACACACAGCTATATGTAGTGGTTCTGGTGTCTATAGCCTGTCCCAGCAGGCTTTTCAATGTAAACACTGACTTTTCAGAGAAAAGGCAGTGTTTACATTGCTTCCTAGTGACACCTTTAGTGACAGACACTCAGACAGTCACGAGAGGTGCTTCCTGTGTCAGTGCAGCACAGTGGGCAGCACCTACATTCAGGGCCTTCACGCTCTGGGGGTGCTGAACGTTCCCCATAGAGATACATTGATTCAATGCATATCTATGAGGAGATGCTGATTGCTGTAACGTTTTGCAGCCAATCCTATGGCAAAGCATTGGTTTGGCTGAGATCATCAAGCCATAGAGGCAGGGCCAGTCGAGGGGAGACCAGCACAGCGTGGGGAAAAGAAGGGTGAGTAAAAACATTATTTTTAAAACACACACAGACATAGACATACACCATGACAGATACATATACCATGACACACATATATACCATGAGAGACACACACCATGACAAACACACATACCATGACTGACACACACACAACTTGACAGAGACACACATACCACGACAGACACACGCACACCTTGACAGACACACACATACCATGACAGACACACACACCTAGACACACACACACACCATGACACAGACAGACCATGACACATACACACACCATGACACAGACACACATTACCTGACACAGACAGACACACACACCATGGCACAGACACACACACACCTTGACAGACACACACACCATGACACAGACAGACCATGACACACACACACACCATGACACAGGCACACACCCATTACATGACACAGACAGACACACACACCATGACACAGACAGACACACATTACATGACACAGACAGATACGCACACACACCATGACACAGACAGACACACATTACATGATACAGACAGATACACACACACCATGATACAGACAGACACACATTACATGAAACAGACAGATACACACACACACCATGACACAGACACACATTACATGACACACACACACACCATGACATAGACACGCACACCATGACACAGACACACACACACCATGACAGACACACATAACTAAACTTGACCAAAACTGAAATTCGGGTCTTTCCTCTCTCAAGTGTTGTTACTCCTGCGTCTGTCTCCCTCCAAGTCAACGGTGTTACCATCAGCTCCACCATGCAGGCTCGCTGCCTAGGTGTTCTCTTTGACTTCGACCTCTCCTTCAAGCCTCATGTTCAATCTATCGCCAAATCCTGTCATTTCCATCTCAAAAACATTGCACGTATCTGCCCCTACTTAACGCCAGATGCGACTAAGGTGTTGGTCCATTCCACTGCCCTTTCTCGCCTTGACTACTGTAATCCGCTTCTCAGTGGTCTTACGTTCTCCCAACTTGCGCCGTTACAGTCCATAATGAATGCGGCAGTGAGGTCATCTTCCTGTCTGCCCGCAACTTCCATGCCTCACCCTTCTGTCAGTCCCTACATTGACTTCCTATAAAATATAGAGCTCACTTTAAAACTCTGGTTCTTGCTTTCAAATCGCTACATAATGCTGCTCCCACCTATCTATCTTCCCTTATACACAAGTATGTCCCATCTAGGCCCTTACGATCTGCTGAAGACTTGCGTCTATCTTCTGTCCATACTCCCACCTCTGATGCTCACCTTCAAGATTTCTTGAGGGCTGCACCGTTCCTGTGGAACTCGCTTCCCTCCTCTGTTAGATGCTCACCCAGTCTCCACTCCTTTAAAAATTTATTAAAAACCCACTTCTTCATAAAAGCGTATCAATTAAAATGTTAATCGCTCCTGACTGATTCCTCTTCTGCAACTGTCACTAGTCTAATACTATCCTAACCTTCGAATTCGATGGCGCTATATATATAACATAATAATAATAATTGCTAGTGCTACCTGTGCACAGACAGCTGTCTGTGATGGTGGCCACAGGGGGAGCTTTTAGCTTTGCTGGCGGCCGCAGGGGGAGCTTTTAGCTTTGCTGGCGACCGCAGCTCCCCAGCGCGCAGCTTAATGAGACCGGGGCCAGAATATGATGTCATATTCCGGCCTCGGTCTCATTAAGTAGCGCGCGAGGGCGGGGGAGCAGAGACAGAACAGCCAGCTCCCCCTGTGGCTGCCAGCAAAGCTGAAAGCTCCCCCTGCGGACGCCATCACAGACAGCTGTCTGCCCGGCCCCAGGTGCTGACGGCCCACCAGGAAATTTCCCTGTATCCCGGTGGGCAAGTCCGGCCCTGTTTGAAACATTTACTGACAGACACACTCATTCACACTGACAGACACACTCACTGGCAGGCATACTCACACATTTACCCATTCTTACACACACACTTACAAATTAATGTAATTTCTTGTGGTGTTATTTTATTTATTTTCTAGGCCCATCCAGCCCCCATACCTTTGGGAGAGTTTGTGTAGGGAACTCCCTGGCATCCAGTGGGGATCTGCTCCCTGGGTGTGTGTGTGTGTCTAGGTGTGTGTGTCTGTCATGGTATGTGTGTGTCTGTCAAGGTGTGCGTGTGTCTGTCGTGGTATGTGTGTCTCTGTCAAGTTGTGTGTGTGTCAGTCATGGTATGTGTGTTTGTCATGGTGTGTGTCTCTCATGGTATATATGTGTGTCATGGTATATGTATCTGTCATGGTGTATGTCTGTGTCTGTGTGTGTTTTAAAAATAATGTTTTTACTCACCCTTCTTTTCCCCACGCTGTGCTGGTCTCCCCTCGACTGGCCCTGCCTCTATGGCTTGATGATCTCAGCCAAACCAATACTTTGCCATAGGATTGGCTGCAAAACGTTACAGCAATCAGCATCTCCTCATAGATATGCATTGAATCAATGTATCTCTATGGGGAACGTTCAGCACCCCCAGAGCGTGAAGGCCCTGAATGTAGGTGCTGCCCACTGTGCTGCACTGACACAGGAAGCACCTCTCGTGACTGTCTGAGTGTCTGTCACTAGAGGTGTCACTAGGAAGCAATGTAAACACTGCCTTTTCTCTGGGGATCTTCTCCTTAGGGTCCAGTGGAGGATCTTCTCCCTGAAGTCCACTGGGAATCTTCTCCATGAGATCCAGTGGCTCCTGCAATCTTCCAGTTCCTCACTGCTCCCTCACACGCTGTTGAGTGATGCCGGGGATGGAGAGACATTATATTCCGGTACCCGGCGTTATAGCAGGGCACGCGAGGGAGCAATGAGGAACTGAAAGAACATCAGCATTCCCTTGCTGCCACCTGCCTCCTTTCTCCCCGGTATATTTCGGAAGAGTAAGCACCTGCCATCCAGGTAAGCAGGTGCCTATTTTGCATTAGTGAATAAGCACCTGCTTCAGCAGTGCCCTAACAGCTGCCTCCTGGGTTCCCTGTGACAGGCCATTGTCCCGCTCCTATCAGCACCCTCCCTTCTGTGGTCTGGGTGTGATGAACCTTGTTTATCCGCCCAGTGTCAGCCTTGGGGTGGAGGGGGGAGGGGGCATCTGCACTTTTGCAAAATGGAATATAGGACACACTCTCTTTTTTTCAGAAAGCTAAAGAGTTTCAGAGGCTTGGCTTGTCCCTTTTAAGTTAAACTTCAAGTACAATAACAAATCTAATGCATAATACATTTTATATTAAGCCAGTTCCGCAAGCACTGCTCCCTCATGTAGAGAGGCAAACATCAATGGGAACTGCTTGCTTAAATGGCTGCAAGGAACAACAAGTAAAGAAAGTGGCCAAGGCACAGAAACAAAACTACATCCTAAATATTTCAGCATTAAGCAGTGTAACAATCTTTCAAGCCTTGCCTAGCTGATGGAACTGCTGTTTTATTGATTATAGATGGATCTATTTACAAAGGTTCGACTTGAAAGTGAGAACGACTTAATACATTGTTTGAAGATGAGTAAATTAGCTGCATTGGGGTGAAATTTCCAAACCAGCTAGAAATTAAGGTTAAGTCAG